TGAGGGTTTTTGGCCACCACACAAGAAACAGCCACAGAGAAGATGATGCCAAAAACGGTTTGGCGAAGGAGACAGGTTGCCTTCTGAGGCCGACCGATGAAAAGCAGAGGGCAGAGAAAGGAAAGCAGAAGGGAGAGCAGGAGGGTGTAGCTGAGGCCCCGGTTGTTGGCCTTGACTATGGGAGTGTCCTTGTGCTGAAGAAAGACCACAAGGACCAGGGCTGTGATGAAGGAAAATAAAAGAGCAGAAATGGCCAAAGTGATCCCCAAAGGCTCTTGGAAAGATAGGAAGCTGATACCTTTTGGAAGGCACTGATCCTGGGCTTTGCTGGGATACTGATCCTCTGGACACTGGTAACAAGAATCCATGTCTGAAAAGGAAAAAAAAAAAAAAGCCCCTTATTTAGAAGTTGGCATGTGAAGTCAAGATAGAAAGACCAGCTCAGAGCACAAGGTGAGCTCAAAAGACAATTGCATGATTCTCAAGCCATTGTGTTTTCATGAAGTATTATGCAGGGCCTAACCTCAATTTGTTTGTTATTCCTTCCTTCAGTTTATATCCACCTTTCCTTCAGAAGCTCTAGGCAACACATATAACCCTCTGTTGTCCTGCTTTCACTACAACAACAACCTGGTGGAGTACGTTAAATTCAGACAGTGACAGGGCCAAAGTGAACATTGAACTTTCATGGTAAAGGTGAACTTGAACCTGATTTCCTTCTTCCTTGTCTATCACATTAACCACTGCACTCCTTCAGTGCTGGAGAAAGTGGAAGCTGATCTGCCTCTATCCAGATCCTTGTTTGCTCCTGAGTTGTGAAGAAGTTTTGAAACATTTCAGAAATATCCAACATTTGTTCCTCAGAGATTTGAATCTATTTCAGTCAAAACAATGATCCTGAGTGGAACAAGGAGAGTTCCATTTCCTCTCCTCCACACACAGTAGATACCTTTGTTCTAGTTTTAGCTTCTCCTTTCTATTTGATTATCTGGAGAGCTGCATTAAGATTAACACCAGTAATCTACCCACCCCATATAAAAAAGTTAACATGGTGGGCAGGAAGAAGGAGGATTCAGATCTATCCAGCAATGAGGCCAGTTTTCTTGCCCATAAGTTGGGATTTGAGGTCTCATCAGACAATGAAGAAAGACAATACTCTGTTCATAGACTGTGTGACCCAAGCATTTCTGGATTTAGGGATCAGCTGTGGCATCCTCCTCTTTTATCTTCTATTGGTTTTCCTTTTTTTTAAGGGAAGAAAAAGGGAAAAATCAGTATTCCATTTATTGCCCTCTCTATTGGGAACAGCTGGTCAGCCCTTGTTTTAAGCAAAGCTATTATACTCAAAGTTTAGGTAATACCTCAAAGTTGGGGGAAAAAAAAAAAACCTCTGACATTTTCTTTTACATTTTCTAATATCTTTGGTGGGTTTTTCTTTTCTTAAAGCTCAGCAACAAAGTCCTCTCATCTGGAGAAAAGCATTCCCAGGGTTGCCTTGATACAATACAGCCAGGTCAGTGAAAGGCCTAATGATTGTTTTCACACAACATGCTAAACATGTCCAGGTTTAACTTTGGTTGGCATTTCTGAGGCTTAGCAACCTGTGTTGTCCCAGCCCATAGTGCTATTTTATCTTACTGTGGATTGTAGATCAATGTCAATCATTCTTAACTATGTGAAGAACCTTATGTGAGCATAGCCAGTCACAAAAACAAAAAACAAACAAAAACCCACACATTTTCTCCTCCTTAGAATCCTAGGTAAGAACTCATCCTTAAGTGTTAAGAGTCTCAACACCCTAAGGATGTTCAAAGCCAAGTTTCAAAGAAAGTAGGTTGAAAACTGTTCTACCAATTTTAATGAAAATAGGCATGATTTGTTCTCTCCTAAACCTTGAACTTCTCTATAATACTCACCCCATTCTGCACAAACACAAATCTATGGAAATAAAAAATCAAAGATCCATAACTAGAACAATCTCTGGGTTGTCTTCCTTTTGTGCCCTTCACAGTTTGTCTGTGTATTTTATAACATTCTACTGGAAAAAAAAGTCCAAATATTTCCCATATTAATAGAAATATGAATCCCAGTTTTCACATCTCTTTGATCTGGATGAAGCATTGGCTCAAACACTTGGCCCCAGAAGAATCCACCAACGAGAACAAATGATGAAAGGAATGATGCATTGATACTCTACCACCATATGTGTGGAGTGACATCACCAGCATGTAAAAAAAGATCAGAGCTGCATCACAATGGAGATCACAGACCTATTTCTATTCAACCTGATTTTTACACAAGAATTATAATTCCACCACCATCACCAACAAGTGAAAACTCAGTAGGCATTGCATCTTACCCATCCAGTTTGAAACTTTTCCTTCTGGGCATGGAAGGCAATCGTAACAACAAAATGGTTCCCCTTCCTTCTTGGTCTTGCTATAACCTTTCTGGCAGAACTCATTACACAAAGAACGAGGCTGTGCCTGTGCACAAAGGAAAGTGGTAATTGCTTGAACTCTTAGCAAGTGTTGTATTGAATTAAATTGAACAAATGCGTAATGTACAATACTTAAACCTTGAGCTGAAGCTGGTATAGCCATATAACATTGTTTCTAATTAGGCAATCAGAATAACATTGCTGATGTGGGCCTTCCAGGCTGTCAGAATAACACTTTGGGGAAGTAATGTTCACATGTCTTCTTCTTCTTTTTTTTTTAAAAAAATACTTTTCTTATTAACTAAATACAAAAATCAAAGAAAAAGATAAAGCATACAAAAAAGTGTAATAGAAGAAAAAGAAAGAAAGCTAAAGACCCAATCACAGTAACTAGGCTCTATCGTGTCCCCTGTTATGGTCGACAGGTATACATTGCTACCACAAAACAGTTTCCATACCCAAGTGAAGGAACATGAGAGGCATTGCAGATTAGGACAGTCCAAAAAATAATCAGTAGCAGAACACGTACTGCACCATAAGGATCATGAAATTCAATTCAAGGACACACAAGGGCTGTCAACAACATCAAACAACATCACACAACTGCTGTCAACAACATCAACATAAAAAATATGCGCCATTCCAATAAACAGAAGCCCACAGTTTGTCACAGACATCCATAGTTAATTTATATTGATCAATTCTGCAGACCACTGGATAGTTGGTCTGTCTGAACTTTCATGATGTTCATATGTCAAGAACCTTTAAGTTAATGTATTCTATTCTTTCAATTCCAATTAAGGCCATTACTGGAATTTTGCAGGAACATGAAAAGTGATGGAATGCCGAGATGTCCACTCTCTCCATGTTTGGGGCAATAGCCTTGCAAAGGGATTGCTTTGTGTCAGTTCCCACCAATTTCTATAATTTGCAATTTTAAATTAATTACCTCAAAATATTGTTCTATTTGCACAATTCCTATTCATATTTAGCTTTAAAAAGCGGTATATAAAAACAATTCATTGTAAGTAGCTGCACCAAGAATTGCAACCCTAGTAGGTGGTGGTGATGGTGGACCAAACCAACACCACCACCAACAAACACTTTGTGTGAAATGGTTGGCTATATAAATGTGATATATAAATAAATAAATAAAAATAAATAAATAAATAAATTGCAGTTTGAAAAATCGTATATATAAATTACATAGAAGCCAAAGACAATCAACGCTGTGAGGAGGCACTAGCTGGTTCCTATGGGCTAAAGCTACAGATAAAAATGTTCCCACTGACCTAGATACCTTTAAAAATTGGTCCCTTAAAAGGAAAGCAATGATCTCCTTGTGATGAGGGAAATTAAATGTTGCAATAACTGGTATTTTAACTTTTAATTGTCATTGGGGATAGAGTGGACATTGGTACAGAACATGGGATATAGATCTAATCTCCGTATTTGAACATATACAAACATGATTTTTGTATGGGCGATTGAAAAATCTTCCAGCTGTAGCCCTGATGTGAAGCACATCAAGGGAAAAACCTCCTAGGTAGCACATGAAGGATCTTTTGAAAATAGCTAGGGAGAGCCCAGGAAGACAGGGCAATTCTTCCACCATAGAGAGGGAACATTTTGACCTGGCTGACTGAACAAGTCCCAGTCCTTCTCTTTGACTTCTGCTAAGGTTTCACTGAGGCCTAAAGCAAGGAATGCTGAAATGAACAGAGCACAATATACCAGGTCTTGATTATTTGCCTTTGCAGGGTGGATACAAATCTTATCATTCAAGCCAAGATGAACCAAGGACACCCCCCCCCCCAAAGGATCTGCCTTGCCCAAGTCCTTAAGTGGTATAGTCTTGCACTGGCCCCACAACGGATGCAGATCAATTCAAATTGCATTACAGCGTTAGAAGTCAAGTGAGGAGTGCACGCTATTGTTCTTAGAAACTTAGCTTGTTTTGAGTTGATGATGGACTCAATACTATACTTTTTATAGACTCACACTTGGGCACTATAGAGCACCATACCCAAAACATTGGCCTTGAACAGCTTAAGGGCAGCCAGAACGGCTAATTTTCTCCAGAGAATCTCTCTAGGAATAGAACCAAATGTTATCTATGAAGGTGATGTAGAGGGCTCCATTTGGGAAACTAATATTTCTTTGCTAAATGGTGCAGAATTACATACTGATTCATTGTTGAATGTCCCTGCCTGAAACCAGCCTGCTCAGGCACTAAGATATTCTCAGAAGGGAGCTAGATGAGAAAGTTATGATCTCATAACCTGGCATTAGTCTGTTAACTACTGCAATAAGGCTCTCTGGGCAATAATTGCTGGAGTCATACCTACTGCCTTTCTATATATTGGAAGTATAATCGAATTAATCCCATGTTTAGATATACTTGTGGAATTGTTTATGGCAGTGAAAAGAAGGGCCAACCCCGATTCCCACTATATTGAATTTGGCTTTAAAAATTCAGGTAGAATTAAATTTTTGTCCTTTTTTGCTGAACAATTAAATTCTGAATCACAGAAGGAGATACTGGTAGCCACTCTGGAAGGGGTTCATCTAATAGTAGGGATACTGTCTCAAGAGGATGTAAATACACTTTGAAAATGCCTGGCCCAGTGTCAAGAGGGATTAAATGATGATGGTTGTTAGGCTTTGCATGAACTGTGGATTTAGAGGTAAGATGCCAAAACTATGTTCTTTGCTTATCGCCATCTGGTGGATCCTGACCCTGGTCTCAAATGCAAACTGCCACATTTATTCCTTTGGTAGCCTCTTAAATCTCTTCTTTTGTGAATATAAAAATTCAGGGACTGGAAATCATTAGCTGTTTGGGCCAACCTATATGCTTGTCCTTCCAGAGACCTATAACTGAAGGGTACATTGTTAAGACATTTCTGGTGGCTCTGCTCAAATCCCACAGAAGTGAAAAAAGCCAGCTATTTTAGAATAGCTTTCCATCCAGGGAGTGATCACCTACCAGTAATGATAGGTGGCCACTTCCTGAATGAAAAGCTGTCCTAAAATCTTTGCATAAAAATATATGGCTACCAGATATAAACATATAATCTAAAATGGATACCCCCAAAGTCCAGAAGGTGATCTTGCCCTCAGAATCTCTAGGCATTAAACTGTTCAAAATCTTTCAAATCAAATTTGGTCATAAAGATACTTGGAATAAGCATCAACTAATTGACTTAACATGGCAATATAGTTATTTCATTATCTACATTCTGAACTTGGAACAGGGGGAAATAATGAGATGGACCCCAAACTGTATACAGAAGATACCTGGTTAAATCTCCTTGGCCATTTGATGGCATCAACAGAAAGACTGAAAATGTTGTTTTTGGGAGCTCTGGGGTCAAATGTTCCAACTTTGACTTGACGTAGTGTTAAATTTGGGAATGTGATCCAATTGATGATATCAAATCCTGCTTCCAGATTCCCATTTTGATCAAAAGAAATCATTTGCCCTACACTGTTGTTATATGAGACTTTTCTTAGATAATGGTGGAACTAAAATGAAAGTGAAAAAAAGCAATAAGCTATACAAAAGTAATACAAACAATATAATAGAAAGTGAGGATATTTCACAGGCTAGAATTAGGAAACTATCAATATGCACAATTAAACATATCATTAATCAGGTGCTTATTATTAGTGCTTTTATATGCCTAAAATATAAACAAACTATAGAGAGTCAAACCAAGCTTATCACTGCTTGTAGAAATGCAGTCTATGAAGAAAGAAGAAGAAGACTTCTGGGGAAGCAATGGCACACTGAAGATGGCTTCGCTTGGGAGGAGCTGACAACCATGGTGGAATGAGGGGATGGCAAAAGGATCAGCACCTCAAAATCCCTCTCTGGATAAAGGGGAGGACCTGGAATTGCCCATAGGCACTCCCTACAGAGGCTCCCTGTGAGGAGACTGTGAAACAGTGGCTGTTGGCAGATTTTAGAGCTCTGGGAGCCGAGGGAAAGTCAGCTTTGCCAAAGCCGTAGTTCGGAGCCTTCAAACGGACACTGGGTTCGCCCACTTCCTTTCTTTATCGCTTATGAAAATTGCTTGTTAACTGCTTTTTGGACATTAAGAATCTTCAGAACAACATGTTTCATCACATTGGGTGATTCTCCTTCAATCCATAGCAAAAGAAGTTTCATATAAGTTTAAGAACTTTAAAAAAAAAATTATTCTGAAATAAACAGAAAAAGGGTATTTAGAATGTTGATTTTGGAAAGTTATAAATGGATTAAGGGGCCAGGGATTGGAAATAAGGTTTTGAAATTAATTATCAGAATCCTTCCTGTGGGTTGTTTACAATCCTATTAAAAATATATGAAGATTTTAAATCTAAGTGTAAGAAATCTTCCCATGGGAATATGTTGTGGATTAGAGTAAAAACAAGGTAAGAGGAAACTTTGAAGTCTGGGTGCTAGAGACAACCAGAAAGAACTAAGGATTATAATTAAAGGAGAAGAGACCCACTAATACAGAATGGAGAAAAGTATTTTAATTTTGGAAGAATTCAAGGATATTTGGGAACAATGCACTCAGAAATTTCTTTTAAGACTGTCTGCTAACATAAAAATGGGTTGAAAAGAGGAGATAGAAGAAGATACAACTGAGAATCAGGCTGTTTTGGATTTGGATTCAAAAATGACAAGTTACAAGAATGATATGGAAAAGATGTTACACCGGATTTACAAATGAAACCAGCTGATGTCTTAATAACCAAAAGGACACACAAATAATAAATCAGAGAATGACTTGGGCAACTCTTTTATCTTGGAGTTACAAAATAGATGTGTGATACTCATGAAGGAGTTCCTGAGAAAAGACAAAGAGAAAATGAAAAGAAATCAGCTTTTGGGACATTATTTAAAGGGAATAAACATCAAGATTTTTAAA